TTTTTCGTGTCTATCCTCTTGTCTTATCTTATCCTCTTGTCTTATTTTATATTATCTTTTGTTTTGTTTGTCCTTTTCTCATCTTTTATGTATCTCTCTTTCTCTTTCTTTCTTTCTTTCTTTCTCTCTCTCCCTCTCTCCCTCATTCCTTCCTTCCCTTCTCTCCGCTCTCTCTCTCTCTCTCTCTCTCTCTCTCTCTCTCTCTCTCTCTCTCTCTCTCTCTCTCTCTCTCTCTCTCTCTCTCTCTCTCTTCTCTCTCTCTCTCTCTCTACCCCGAGATTTACTTCTGATAACACCGGGGAAATAGAAGGAAACAAGGTGGGAAAACATCATGAATTATCGTCACTCCAGGATAACACACGAAAAACGGCCCAAAATCCATCTTGCTCCGCTTTGCAAAACCTCGTCAGCCACTCCAGGCGGAAGTCGGTCGTAAGGTTTTGTTATCTTAACACCATCGCGAAACTGCGTGCGTTCAACCCCTCGTTTTTTATTTTTTGTTGTTTTCTTTTTTTTGTTTTTTTGCGACCCTGTAATTCTTTTCTTGCGTTAATATTTGTTATTGTCTGTGTTTGGCGGCGCGTGATTTCGTGAATGATATGTAACATTCGTGTTTGTGTGCGGTGAGCGACGTGTAACCTGAATGTTCGAACGTGAGCCACATGCATAGCGCCCCCTCACTCGCTGTGCTTTCCTCCCTCCTTCCTCTCTCTGCACCCACCCTTCTCGCCTTTCGTCCTCTCTCTCTTACTCCTCTCGTTCCTCTCTCTCTTCTCTCATTCTCTTACTCTTTCTCTCTCACTCTCTCTCTCTCTCTCTCCTCTCTCTCTCTCTCTTTCTCTCTCTTCTCTCTCTCTCTCTCTCTCTCTCTCTCCTCTCTCTCTCTCTCTCTCTCTCTCTCTCTCTCTCTCTCTCTCTCTCTCTCTCTCTCTCTCTCTCTCCTCTCTTCCTCTCCCTCCTCCCTCCTCCCTCCCCTCCTCTCCCTCTCTCCCTCTTCTCCCTCCCTCCCTCTCTCCTCCCTCCTCCTCCCTCCCTCTTCTCTCTCCCTCCCTCCCTCCCCTCCCCTCCCTCCCTCCCTCCCTCCCTCCCCTCCTTCCCTCCTCCCTCCCTCCTTCTCCCTCTCTCCCTCCTCCCCCATCCCCCTTCCTCCTCCCCCGTCCCTCCTTCCACCCTTAGTCAGAAGCAGTCAGCCGGTGGAATCCCCTTTCCCCCTCGAGAATGACACCGTGTTCCCACGGGGGAATAAGTTCACCTTGGGTGTTTACCGCGAGGAAGCAGGAAATGACATACGCACAGGTGACTTTTCAGGAGGGAGTCGCCGCCCAGGGGAAGGTGGCAGAAGGATACGCCGGCGATAGGTGTGGCTCCGTCTGCGTACACCTGCGTATGGGGGTGGGGGAGGGGAGGGGAGAAGGCGGAAGGAGCGGTTGAGGAAGGTGAGGCGGGTTGGTTTGTGTGTGTGTGAGTGTATGTGTTTTGTTTGTGTTAGCTGCATGTGTGTGTTTTATTACCTTTGGGCTGATATAATTTTCAGTAGGATATTAAGCAAACCAAGAACAGAGAAATGAAAAAAAAGTTAGAGAAACATTAAAAAGGAAAGGGACAGAAAAAAATCACATACGTCAAGAAAACACAATTACATAGACGAAACAAAAACGAAAATGATACAGCAGAACAAATAAGAAACGAAAAAAATACCAGAGAAAATGAGAAAAGGAGCACAACGGAAAAGAGAAAAGGGATAAAAAAAATAATAATGCCGAAAGATTATACACATATAAAGATAGAAGAAAGAGGAAGTGAAACAACGTAAGAGAATGTGAAGAGAGATAACAGGGAAGGACAAGAGTAGCACGAGCACCAGCCAAGTATAGATAGCGGTAGTGGTTGTAAAGGGGAAGGGTAGTGTTAGGGTGTGAGGGGAAGGGGGTGTTGTGGGGATCAGGGTGTAAGGGAAGGGGGTTGATAGGGTGTAAGATGAAGGGGGATATTATGGTGTAGAGAGGGGGGGGGTGGAGGCAGCTGCAAGACGTGACTCCGCACACTAGTAATAACACACGATTTAGCAAAGACACAAGAGAAATGGGTTGATTGTATGGTCACCCCCGGAAAATAGGTGGGGGGGGTGTCAGGGGGGGTTGATGGGAAAAGGGAGTGAAGGGGAGGGTAGGGAGGAAGGGGGAGTTGACGGGAGGAGGGAGTGGAGGGGAGGAAGGGAGGGAACAGAGGAAGGGAAGGTTGAAAATGGAGTGGACGGGAGGGGAGGGATTAAGTGAGAGTTGAAAACGGCGTTGATGTAAGGAGGGAGTGGAGGGGAGAAAGGGATTGAAGGGAAGGAAGGGAACGGAAACGAGGGTGAAGACACGGTAGCATGGCGTGGAGGGAAGGAAGTCAAGGCAGGGAGGAGAGGGAGGGAAGAAGAGTTGAAGAAGTTGTAGTTGGGAGGCGGGAGTGGAGGGACACTTGACAAAGGGAGACAGGCGAGAGCAAGGAGGTGCATGTCTATTCAACTTGAACTCGATAGCATTAATGGACTCACTCTCATTCCTATCTCGGTGGATTTATTTTCGACTCGGCTCCTTTGTGGGATCGTCTGGGGCGAGCGCCAGGGCGGGGCTGCAATGGGCTGCGGAAGGAGAGCTGGGGATAAGGATAGGATAGGGGCTAGGGATAGGGGATAGGCTAGGATAGGGATAGGCTTAGGGCTAGGGATAGGGATATAGGGCTTAGGGGCTTAGGGCTAGGGGGGTAGGGCTGGGGTTAGGGCTATGGCAAGGGCTGGAACTATTGTCTAAGGATAGGGAATAGTGCTGGTGATAGGACTAAGGACTAAGGGCTAGGATTTTGGGCTAAGGGCTAGAGCCATGGGATGGGGTTAAGGGGCTAGGGGTATACACATCCCCGTGCACGAAGAGGAAGCCTGTCATTTGTCAACGGACTCGCTCAAGGGGGGAGGGGGAGGGAAAAAGACCTATTCTCCCTCTCTCTCTCTCTCCCTTTCTTTCTTCTCCAACAACATCGCGTATATCACAATCGCAGGCCAGAGAGATCAGCATCACATATATATATGTGTGAAATGTACCATAGGCCTATTTTCACTCCGCGAACCGTCTGTTGTTTTGTTCTGCCACGTGACCAGAGCCGTGAGAGTGTGACCCGCGGGCGCCGAAGACATCGCCGATCGGAACATCTGGAGACCTAGTCCTCACGTATGAACCGCCGCCCATTTGATTCAATCGGCGTTGCGTCCCCGGGCCCTCGGAGGCGTCGCGGGGCCCAAGGGGGTGTGGGAGCGACGGCCACCGTATGGGTAAAGGGGATGGCCGATGTCGCGCGCCCATTAATCCCCTTGGCGGCCGATTCCGCTTCGGGTTATTTATGGAGCGGCGCCGATTCGACAGGAGGCGTCGGCGAGGGGGACTGGGATGGGCGGCGACTGGCGGCGCGGGCGGGCGGGCGGGCGTAGGTGGGTGCTGGCGAGGATTATGTGGCGATAGAAGGAGGACCTGCTGACCGCTCTTGATGGGTTGGGCTGCCAAACGGGTTTCTTCTCTCTTGTTCTTCTCGTTTTCCCCCTCTCTCTGTTTTTTCCTATATTTTTATCGTCGTTTTCAACTACTTCCTTTTTATTCCGGTCATTTTTCTCTCTCACTCAAGCGGACACAAAAAGGCCAAAAGAAATTCAGCTCAAAGTATCTCCCTTCCCTCCTCGAACTTTTATATCTACGCTTTTATCTGTATCTACATTCTCTCTCTTAATCTATCTATCAGTCTACCTGTCTATCTATCTATCTATCTATTAATCCTCTTCTCTCTCTTCTCTCTCTCTCTCTCTTCTCTCTCTCTCTCTCTCTCTCTCTCTCTCTCTCTCTCTCTCTCTCTCTCTCTCTCTCTCTCTCTCTCTCTCTCTCTCTCTCTCTCTCTCTCCCTTTGTCTCAATAAACGTGTCAAAGTAAAGTCACAATCTCTCTCATTGTGAAACTGCGTATGTGCTTCTATCTGTTTAAGTCTCCTTCTAGCCACCTGTTAAATCGATCGATCTGTCTTCTTATCTATCCGCCTATCTGTGGTCACCTATCTATCGATCTCCTTTTCTTTCTCGCCTTTGACTTTGGGAATCGAAACTCATGGATTGTCAGAAATATTTTTGTTTTGATTCAGATTCATTTTTGGATAAAAGGGAATACAATCGCGTATCTAAAGGTGGATCTGCCTGCGATTATTCCATACAACATAGTTTTAAAGTGATTTAATCCTCCTTACAGGATCGAAAGCGATTAGATCCTCTATGATTTATAGAAACAGACACACATCACCTGTTCATTGGAAAGAGAGTGCTAATGCTCCGCCCAAATTATATTTGATGACTGCCATTAGTCCGGACTCGCTGTCATAGAGGTAACGGATGTGTGATTTAGAAAGTTTATCGCTTACCGGTGCAGGAACGCGACTGAATTAAATAAGTAGATGGAGACGGAGGGGTAGGGGTAGGGGGGAGGAGAAGAGAAGAGGAGGGAGAGTGTGTGTGTGTGTGTGTGTGAGAGAGAGAGAGAGAGAGAGAAGAGAGAGAGAGAGAGAGAGAGAGAGAGAGAGAGAGAGAGAGAGAGAGAGAGAGACATAAAGGGAAGGAAAATCGAGAACGCAGAGAAAAAACGAGAGCGAGGTTGAATGCAAAGAAAGCCTTTTTCCTCGCCGATGCATGGGAATGGCTGACATCAAAGACAAAAAAAAAGCGTAAACAAAAATATCCATTGTTGGCCGTTTTTACGCGCACTTCAACCGCATCAAAACAACAATGCAACACGCGGGGCCATGACGCGGATGGCCATAGAGCATTACCCACGGCAAGGCCACTCGGGGCTCTTGCTGTCCCCTTTGCATACGTAAGCCTCGGGAAAGGACAATAAAGCGAATTCTTACGCGTATTGAGATGTCCTTGGAT